CAAAGACATTTGAAGAGTTTTGTTCGTTTAAAGTCGCTTGATTAATTGAAAGATGATGAATCCAGCTGCACATAATGATGCAATGAGTTTGGAGCACTTAAAAGAACTAGTAGCAAGAGAGCAGTAATACAAAACCTATAAAGCCATGCAGACGTCTTTGCGGCCATAGCAAGAAACTAATTTATAACTCCCCATATGGCGCTTGTTTCAACTGAAAATTCAAATTAGTCGTTCAGCCTCCTGCGGGAGTTTCTCCACATGCATACTTCAGCTAATGCCAGCAGTGTATAAATAAGTCTTTGTGTGTTCAGTGTGTTCGCTACAAAGCCCTTGCAGGGCTTCGGAAGCCCAAAGAAGTTTAACCAAACTCCCCCGCTGAACGTCGATTCCGTTTGATCCTGCAGAATTCAATTTTACGACAGTCGCCTATAAATTTAAAAACGAAATTGCCATTTCTTTTCATACCCGCCCAAACTTTTCACGATGGAAATTGCATCTTTTGATGATTGGCCGCTATGCTGGTAGAATGGCTGCAGCAGAAACAATAGATTTAATGCGAATGCATCGTGATTGATAAAATGGATCCCCGTTACATTAGCGGGGCTTAAAACTCTGCGATCCGTGACAAATTTACATTATAAATCCGATGCGGACTTCCTGTTTTATAGCGACTGCATAGTATTTGTAAAGCTTCGGCAGCTGTCTCTTGCGAGCATTATGGCTGGACTGAATATGATTTTCCGAAGCAAGTCGGACTCGCAAACTGATAGTTCAGCTAACAAGGAATTGAGTCATTCTTCGCCGTTTGACTCATGGGAAGTTATATTTGTGTAACGATGCCCGGAAGTAGGCCTGGGTAACACGGTGTTGAGTTGCGCTATTGAGTTGTTGCCGCTCTCTGAGCTAACGAGTTATAACTCATCGGTTAATAAGTTCTAATTCATTTGTTAAAGCTTTACGAGACCCGAGGTTGGAATTTTCACATCTAAAAAGGGCCATTCACATTTTTTCTGAGTAACGTTGTACTACTTTGTTCAAACTACTAAAAAAAAAGTAATCTAGATTTTCCCAGCAACAGAAATGCGTCCAAAGAAAGTCGAGATTTCTTGTTAAATGGATCTCTTAATTTTTTTGCATAAAAGATTGAGTTTGCCAGTATTTTACAGTAAAATGTTAGGAAAAACGCGGTTTTTCTGTTTAGGGCCAGTGTTGTTTAGAAATATTGACCTAAAAGTGCAGAAACTCGGAAAAATATTTTTGGAAAAAGACCTCGAAATTATTATTTGAGTTTTGTCCATAATTCGAAGCAGCAAAAAGTTTCCGAAACATTTTTGCGAAGCGGTTAAGGAGGCGAGCGTTTCAATAAAAATTATCTTATAATTTTTCACGGAAAATACCTGAATATGCCAGTATTTTAAGTAAAACTAGAAAAGAATGCGATTTTTGCGTTGAAAGACTTGCGTAACAGAAACTTTGTTAAAACTGGAATAACTTGAAAATTTAAGGAAACTTTAGAAATCTTCAGAGCGATGAGGGCGGCGAATTTTCCGAATAATTTTTTGTTAACTTTGCGCTGGTCGTTTTTTAAAGATAGTCCTAATTACTTTCCGTAAAAAAACTGAATAAAATTATTTGATTTTTGTGCCAAATTCAAAGCTGAAAAAGATTTTCTAAAGTTCCGTGCAAACCGATGAATGGGGCGAATTTTCTAGCAAATTAATTTTGTCATTTTTGACTGAAACACAAAACACCCTATTATGGTCAAAAAAGAAGAAAATCATCAGAAAAGAATGCTTTTTTGCGTTTTCGATTGAAAACTTTTAGTCTTGTGATCGGTTTTGGAGAAAAACTTTATGGTTTTCGGGAAAAAATCGGTAGGAGTTTATTTTCGTTTTTGTCTCGTATTAGACACTGAAAAAAGTTTTTGTAGATTTTTCACAAAGCTATATATTTATCTTGTATTTTTTCGCGTAAAAGTCCTCCAGATCGTCACTATTTTTAGGTGAAACTCTACAAAATAGAGCGTTTTTGAGTAGAAAGTAAAGAAAAAAATCAGTCAAAACTAAAAACCACATTTTTTAACAAATTATACAGTCTTCAGAGGAATGGAGGTGACGAGAATTCCAAATAATCTGTTATAAACTTTCGCTTATTCCGTTCGTATTTTAATAGAAAATTGGTTGATTTTTGCTCCAAGTTCGAAGCTGGAAAGGGATTTTAAAACTTGTTACAAAGCGACGAAGGATTCGAATTTTATTTCGTAATTTTTCGCGGAAAATACCGCAAGATTGTCAGCATTTTTAAGTGAAACTGGAAAATTGAGCATTTAAAGGAGAGTTACTTGGCTAAAGCTGGAAAATTCTGAAATTTGAACACATTTTAAAAATATTATTAATTAATGGCCTTTAAAATAAATCTAAAAAAGTCATCAAAACTTTCCCAAAAACGGAACTGAGTTACTGCGCCGATGCGTTGGGTTGGCGCACCAAGCCATTTTCGTAACACTGCGCCAACCTCTAAAAATCCACTGAGTTACCCAGGCCTACCCGGAAGGTTCGATTGATTCGTCCGAAAAAAATTGACTAAACAAACAAATCGATGCAATGTGAAGTTTTTATTCAATTATTCGTGGAAATTTATATGGTTCAAAGCGGCACTAATGGAAATATTGCGGGATTTATGCATGTGCTCATTTGCAGATCCTGCTCAATTAGAGCCGCCATTATGGGCAAGCTCTATTATTTGCAAATCCCGTCGGCGATTTAGTTGACAATTTAATTACTATCAACTTTTGTAAATCAATTGTCCGGGCTCGAGCGACTTATTATGTTAATAATGCAAATTGTTGTGGATTTTATTTTTTTAACTTACAATATCTATCTAAATCCATTTAAAATATCTAAGAAAGTGTCCACAGTCTTCTCGACCAACAATTTATTACAAGACTGTCAAAAACCCAACATGTTTCGAGTGTATAAACTACTCATCATCAGGGGCCGAGCCTGATGATGCGTAGTTTATACACTCGAAACATGTTGGGTTTTTGACAGTCTTGTAATAAATTGTTGATCGAGAAGACTGTGGACACTTTGTTGGATATTTTACTCGAAAAGTTTTCCATCTGATCTAATTTGAACTCGCCTTCTTGGGACTTTTGAAGTTGATTTTTTAAACACGCTCGTGATGAGCTGCATTATCGGGTGTTTATGTGCAGGAAAAACACGTTCACACAAGTATAATTTGAATATATGTAAGATTCCAACTGAGACCAAAGCAAATACCATATGCGGAAAACACATGTTGCTAAATGATGTAATTTGTGTTCTGGGAGCTTTTGCACATAGTTTAATGGGGAATTGTTAATTTTACACTCAAATCTAGTTTTTTCCCAACCATTCTTATGTGTAAAACCCAATTTTCTAGTGAATTTTGCCCAATTTTCTGGCCATGTTGCTCTTAGAGTCTAAAGCCCCTCCGACCCAGTTTTGCAGGAAAACTCAATCTTGCACATTCACTCCAAATTCACACACAAGTTGTTTCCAGTTTCCAGCTGTCGTTCTCAGCGTTGCGTTTTGCACGTTAATTTCCCAAATCGAAATGGCCCAGTTGAGGATCAGACGCTTAGCGGACGACTTAGATTTGATCCCATGATGTTATCATTATTGCTATTCTTAATATCTATGACGGTCGACGCGTATCGCTCGTTCCGCACAGATAACTCCATAAATCGCGACATTTTAGAATTAATAGCGTAGAAATAATTGCTGCAAGCGGCTCGTCCTTTGCCATAACTCCTGCTTTTTGTGTCGAACACTGTCCCGCTCTCTGCGAAGTCAATGGCCTGAGAGAGATGAAATATGATTAAATCTTTTAGAGAGAGCGACTGCCATTAATCAAAAAATTCCTAGCCAGAACTGTACGTTTTCGTGCCTCGAGCCTTAAGTGCATTAAAGGGAATTTTTATTTCCTGGAATTATGTTAGGTCGCGTCGATGTTCTAATGACTAAGCTTTAATCTTGATTTTATCTGGAATAGTCATCGTTTAGGATCGGTTTCTATGTAAGGATGATTTTGTGTGCGCTTGACTAAATAAAAAAGTTTATTTCATATTACGTTTCGGCGAGACAACAGCGCCATCATCAGATTTAAAATTCAACACAAACCCATAATTGGGAAACATTAGATTCTTTTTAGGCTTGGCTGCCTGAAAAGAATCTAATGTTTCCCAATTATGGGTTTGTGTTGAATTTTAAATCTGATGATGGCGCTGTTGTCTCGCCGAAACGTAATATGAAATAAACTTTTTTATTTCACATTTTGACTGAAATCCAGGAAGGAATTTTTTTTATAACAATCAAATTATTATACTTAATGTTTGATAATTCTGCCCAAAATATCTTTCCAAATGTATGAATGTGTGTTTCTTTTTGACGTCACATAGTGCCAAGTAATCACGGGCAGAGCGCCCCCCTCCACTAGCATTAGGAGGAAGTCCACCCTCTTCGCTACTACACGATTTTTTTGTAACTAATTAATGCGCCAACGTTTCGGTTCAGGGCCATCATTAAGCCATTTGCTAATGTCTGTCGCACTTTACACCTTGCTGAAATGGGCTCGTTTTCCCGGTGCATTCAACACTTGTAAAGTGAAATAAATGCCAACCTGGTTAAATAATCCCCTGCTTACATTCTGAGTGCATTTCTGCGGGTAATTCCATGTTGCCGTCACGTTAGTGACTCTGCAGGTATGTGCAACTTTTACATTGCAAAAGTTACTGACCTCTCCATAAAAGCTTCATTCTTCGCTTGTTGGCAATTCGCATTAACAGCACTTCTCCATTAATTCACATATTAAAGTTGTTTACCATCATCAATCATTGTAATGCTGCAAACAACCCAATGCTTAAACGGCGCCCAGATCTCAAACTCGACCTTAACAAGCGTGCAAATCCATCTAATGCAAATAATCGCATCGTTATTACTGTTTCTATTGGGATTCAGTCACGAGCGACCGTCATCATCAGGCGCAAAATGTCCGGAAATCCGTAGCGCCCTCTGTCGCGACACGATGTTACCCGAAACGACGCTACCACCCCGATTGGACAATGATCTGCGCAGCCCGAACAACAACACGCATCAGCTACCGCGCACCAGGGCCAGCTTGTGCCTGTCACCGACAAGCACAGAGGGCGCCACCTATGTCATTGACAACAAGAGGAGGAGCTGGTGTGGCACCCCCTCAAGCAGCGGTCCCACTCCGCCGTTTTTGAGGAGATATGGGGAGTTGGGACATTTCAAGCCACGGTAAGAGATCCTCTCAATCTACCTTTGAGGTAACACAAAACGGAATTTTGCAGTTGAGTTTTTGAGGTACCGAATACTGATCTGGATTTTTCGGGGAAGTTTTTTGGAAGCTTTAATTTGAATTGTATATGCTTTCCTGACTGTGTTTCAATTCCAAATCAAAAATTAATTCCTGGGTTTCAGTCATTTATTGTCTTTATTTATCAATTAAAATGCGTTTCGGTGTATTTTTCCACCATCATCAGTTTTTCTAAAATAACCGATAGTTAAAAAAACATTTCATTAATTTAAAAAACAATCACAGTTCGTCAACAGCCTCATCATATCACACATTAAAATACATCACAATTGCAACACTTTAAAACATTCTAAAATTAATTAGGCCTAACAGGCGATTAGTCAGGACAATCAAATTTGGGAAGAGACTAGAATTATTTGTTCAGATACTTAAATATTTTTACTTACATGTGTACCGTTGTTGCTGCTTTAAGCCTTGGCAATACATTTGGACACAAAGCGAATAAAATACTGTTTATATTGATTTCTTTTACTTTCAGCTATTTTTCTTTGCATTCTGAGAATATTATTTTTGGTTTGCAAAATTCTTCAATATACCGGGTGTCAATTAATATTCTATGTTTATTGCATTTAATTAATGTATGATATACTGAGCTAAGATTGTCGGTATCCGATCTGAAATTCATAGCATTGTTATGTTTTTTAATCTGTATCATTTCATG